GAAGCTCTTATCGTGGATTAGTGAAGTATTTGCGTGTTTGTGATGCAACTGAGAGGAGTTAAAAATGTCATCTTCTGAGAGAATGGAACCAGTGAAAGCCTGCACCAAAAACAGGGCACCGTGTGACGATAATCAACAGGAAGGTTGTCACCCCCATGGTGAAGAGTGCGACGGCAGCATGGATGAGCCAGCATTTGAGGAATTCGTGAGCTGTAAAAAAACAGCCTTCTGCACATAGAAAGAAATTTCTCTACAGTTTGCGTGTATTTTTACAGGACATATATACACATACAAAACAAACGCCGTATTTACAAGAATGTGGTTCGTGGTGGGCAACGCAAACCCAGTATGCATCAGGATTAGAAGCCACTTAAGGCGTTACCGGTACACAAGTGACAGCAAAGCTATTTAGCAGGAAACATGTTTGATAAGCAATATTGCACCGGCTTGTAGACAAGCATGGTGCCAACGCCACAACGGTCATAACAATAACAATAACATGGGACAGATGGGTTGGAATGCATAGCAAAGTGGGAAGAAGGTAGACCAGTTAAAATATAAAATAGTACGTAATTGGGAAAACAGTTTTGTGGTGATGAGCAGGCATACACAATACGCGACCAGGCCATCGGAGGCGGTGTAGAGCGATTAGTTCTGTTAGAGAACGACTATCCTCACCCAACACACCACGACGAACCTTGTCATTGCTCACCTAGTAGTTCCACTAAACACGAACAATGCTTCGGAGACATCGGTGGTTGAATACAGAAAGTCGAATAGCATCCTCAACGCGGAGAGGTCAGTTCTCGCAACCGTAAAGAAGAACGCTACGTACTGCGGCGATGTATACCCTTCCTTTAAGGGACAGTCGGATATCATGGCGGCATCACAGATGTCGCAGGTTGACGAAAGCTGCACTAGCCTTCGCTATTCGGGATGTGATCTCCTCCCAAGCACCACCACCACCCGAGGTACCTAAAGCTCTCTACTACTTCCAGCTGATCACCACAGTGAGTGAATGCAGGCACAAGATCCTGCCAGTCTTGAACAAACACTTTGCACTTGGAAGGTGGAAAGTATATACCATATCTGGATACCTCGATCGCTAAGTGGTTCAAAGCGTTTTGGACTGCCTATGTATTGTCACCCAGCAAGGCGATGCCATCGGCATATTATAAGTCAAGGACTCTGTTTCCTGGGAAGAGTTCGACTCCACCGTTTGCTTGACCGGCCAAAGCATTTTGTAGAACATCCTCCATGACAAAGTTGAAAAGGAATGGGGATATAGAGTAGCCTTGCCAAACCCCATTGGAGACGGCGAACGGTGGTGAAAGCTGGCCATAGGCCCTAACCCGACCCGAAGTATGACGATACAACTCTTTGGGGATCGATACANGTTCCATCAACTGAGTCGAAGGCCGCTCGGATGTCCAAGAATACAATGATCATTTGTCTTTGATAGGCATGACGGTGCTCTAGCAACTGTTAGAGGGTGAACATTTGATTGATGTATCCACGACCGGAGAGAAACCCAACCAGCTCCTTGCGGGTCTGCTCCTTAGGCATAGTGTACAATCTCCGGAGAATGACGGACGTAGTTCTCCAACAAGAAAAAAAAACAGTCAGATGCGACAAGTGATGCGAGAGAGAAAGTCGCAGTCAGTGACCACAGGGAGCGTGATTATGATGGCGATGATGGTGACCATCACAATGAATTAATTCATAACATAAATTTGTAATTCACACAATGTGACGGTACCTACTCTAGAAAAGAATACGAGTCCTTAAAAAGTAAATAATGCTAGTTTATTGATTATGCAGATAGTAACATACCTTTATCTTTGAGCGTCAATATAATAGATTTTCCTTCAACGAATCGATCCACCTTGTGCTCGACTTTCAGTCCACTGAGATCATCGGATCTGTAGACCACGTTTGGTTGACCTCGATGACTTGAAACGTCTGTTTGAGGGACCTCGAACTGCTCATCCATTTCGGTTAGTACTTTAGCCTAAATTGTGCGTTCATAGGAAGAAAATCGCAATTAGTTCACTTACTCGTTCTTGAGCCTGTTTTTTTATGCGCTCTTTCTCACGAAGTTTGTCAAGCCACGAAACCACGGAAATGTCCTTTTCTTCTGGTTCATATAATCGGCTATTGGCGTACTTATCGTACAGAGCGCGCTTCTCTTTGTGTATGGACAAACGATCCTTAATCGCATCAGTCTCACGAGCTTTTTTTAGATCTTTCGCCGGAGCGTGAACGTAGTTCTCCGACTGATTATCCACTATACGATCTTCACTTGGTTGTGTTTCTTCTGTCTCTAACGGCGCCAGGCCCAATTTTGCTCGTAAAGCACTGAAGTCGGAGAAGAAACGAGTCCAAATAATAAAAGTGAACTCACTTAGTTTCTTTAACTGACAATGAGATGTCTGATCCACTTTGAGGTATCGGATCTGAAACCTGTAACGAATACATATTCGGTCCAAACTTACCACCAGAATCTTGGGCATCATCTGTATCTGCGTGTCGTCTGGATCTTTTCTTTTCTGAACGAAAATCATCTTCATCAAACGGTGACCTTGCGTGTTCACGTGTCCGACGATGACGACGCTTGGGGTCTGTCGAGTGTGAACTTTTTTCCGGCATGCTTGACCCAAAGAAAAATTGATAATTTGTGAAAAACTATGGACGCTGAAAATTCACGGGAATTCCAGCTAACGACTTATTCAAGAGATTTGGGAATAAAGCACAAAAAATAATTTGCTCATTTCGCACATTATTGCTGTATTCAACATTTCAGCTCATACAATCATCACCCTTGCACTCCCGCACGCTGCGCATGGTTGATATCTCTAGACTGCTCATTTGGACGAAATAGTGCATGGAAGAAGCAGAGATCTGGAAGCAGTATTTGGGTGAAGATACACAACTACACTAAATGGTATGGAATGATTGTAGCTCGGGATGCGGATGTTGGCGAGTTCCCCGAGCTGGAAGTGCTGTTCGCAGACGCTTCGTAGCCCAGGTAGGAAACATCATCAGTGGGAAGCACAGAGTTTGAGTTGAGCAGATGAATGTGCATCATG